TAAAATAAAGAAAATTTTGATTGATTTTTTAGAATAAAAAAGAATTATTAATTAAAATGGAGATAGAAGATAAAATATAATTACTATATAAGTAACAGATAATAAAAAGAGAAAATATAAATTTTAATAAATTTTTTATTAATTGATCTATTTGATGTGTTTAAAATTAGTTTAAGAACTAAAATTACAAAAATTTCAAATTTTTTTTTACTAATGTTCTTTTATATGTTATCAGTCAGTGTGCATGTTACACAATCCTGCCAATTCTAATTAATTTTTTGTGTTACACCAAATTTCTAAAACTTCGGTATATTGCAAACATTTTAAAGACATATATTTTCTAACAAAATAAATGACGAAATTGATAAATGAATATCTGTTCCATTTATTGAGAATATTTTTTTATTTCTAGAAACCTTGTACTGACTTCTATAAATACCGCAAAGTACAGTATAATTTGACATAAATTTGAGAGATTCTTTTCTAGATTAGTTCGGAACAGAAATTTATATACCTGAATACCTGTAATGAAGCCTTGCGACTGTGAAAATGTACTTTTCAAAATCTTTTTACGCAATAGTTTTTGAAGAAAAGGGATATTTTTGGTTTATATATATATTAAGCTTATTAATAACTCCACTTTAACCTTTAATAAAGTATTATAATTTACTCTTTTCAAACTTCAGAAGCTTCTCCAAAATGTACTGCTACTGCTTTTTTCTTTCTTTGATATTGAACATGTTGCTTAATTTGACTTAAATTCTATTCATTCGACAAGGTATTCAATTTTTCTTTCATTTGTTCATTTGTTAGTTCATTTTGACTCAAAATTAAAGGTTCTAAAAGGCTTTCTTCTTCTGAATTAGGAATTCGTTTAGCTTTTCGTTTACGTTTACGTGATTCATGTGTATTTTGTGATTCATTTTGTGCTACAATATTGGTGGATCCTTTAGCATTTGATTGAAATTCTAAATTTAAGGTTTGTATGCGTTCTGTTATTTTTTTATTTTTGGTCGATTCCTTAAGCTCTTTTTGAAAAGCTAATATCTTTAATTTAGGTACACCTAATTTGCTTCTTTCTGGCTGAATTGATCTTGATTTAAGAATATCTTCATAATAAATTGCTTGCATATGAATTACTCTATTAGGAAAGCAATTTTTAAGCCGAGTTACTCCTTCAACTGTCAGTTGTATTCGGTAAACATTTTTCCACATATCATTGTTAAGAAAAGATTCATTTGTTCAATCAAATTCTTAAAGAAGGATATTAAATAAATTCCATATTGCATTATATCTTTGGTTTATTGCATGATTTCCGGTAGATGCTGTTGGGTCATCAAGATATTCGGATAATAAGATTCCAATTTGATCACGTTCCGTTTGTACTAATTTTATTTGTAATTTTAAACTTTCTATATTAATTACATTTCCTGATATATTCTGCTTTATGAATTTAACTCCAAAAGTTTCTAACACTTCATTGTATGCAAAAAAATGTCCTTTTTATTTTTCATTATGATCAATTCTAATGAAAGCTGCATAACGTAATTTATCTTCTAACCTGAGGAATTTTTCTAAAATACTAATAAAATGATATACAGAACTAGTATAACGAGTTTTAGCTGCTAAAGCAAATAATTCACCAAATGCAGCTAAAGCATTTTTTTGTAAATTATAATTTTCAACTCGAATTCTGACACAATGAGCCTTAAATATTCCAGCCCATTGGTAGTAAAGGTACCAAATTCAAAATGCTAAATTTACAACTTCGTTACTTTCCCAAATTTTGTGTATATTAAGGTTTTTTTTTAATATAAATACGTATTACAAGAGCTATAGCAGTCCATATTAACTCAAGAACTCGAATAGTAGATCTGTAATCAATAACAGATTCTAATTTTTCTAAGAATTTGACTCCAAGAAAATTTTCAAGATCAAAGATACCATAACTTGAAAAAAGAACGATCAAGACACTGCTCATATCTTTAGACGTGTGCCATTGATCAAGAATTAGACGTAATTGAGGCCAATTATCTATTTGTTTAATTATTCTTCGGAAAATTACTTCATCAGCAATTATATCCAAATATTGTTCGGGTTTTAGTTCTAAATTTTTTTTATATATTTGTAAAGATTCAAAAATACATTTGTCTGAACTTGGAACTCCACCAGGCTCTAAAATTACCACATTTGGAGGATCTATTTGGCATCCATATTCAACGTGATCTAAGATTTTTTCGTGCACAATAGTCATATCAAAATTTGTTTGATATTCCGCAATCCCTTGTGAATCTATTTTAACATTAAGAAGGTCATCTAAAACAGAATCAAAGGTGTCTAAAGTATCTTTAATTACTTGATTCATGCAAAATAATTCTAATGGAGAAGTAGTTTAGTTTTCATCATTCTTATTTTCATGTAAATTGAATGGCATTTGGTGCTGAAAAACTATTCAAAGTGTAGCATGTGTACTAGTACGTGTTGTATCAAAGATATTTCCATATCTAAAAGTTGCTTCCTTGAAATCTATATTATCGATAATAGCTAAATTTCAAGTATTTTTACTTTTGTTAAAACGTTGACATGGATCTATAGATTTCATTCGAATTTTTTCTAATTTTCTTTCTTGACTATCTGTATGTCCACTTATTTGTAAAGTAGAAAGAAGGCACTGAAATTGTTGAATAAGTTTTGGTTTTCGACTAAGACTTGCAAATACTTGAGTAAACCAAACACGTAAACCTGAAAATGCAATTTCTATCAATATTGAATTAAAAAAAGTGACTGTTTTCATCAATTATTGTTCATTGAGTTGTTTTAGTGGTTTGTTTCGGGATTTTAATTTAGAATTTGATATCTTTAATTTTTTTTTAAAAATTTCCTTGCATAAATTTTCAAAAAAACCAGTTAAATATGATGGAAAAGCTGAATGGTAATTTTCAAGAGATGCAGGATTTTGAATTTCAGTTTTTTTTTCGTTCAGTTCTTTTTGTGACTTTCAAATACGTTTCGCTAATTTTTTTCCTACATCAGGTCATTGTACATCAGAAATATGCAATTCAGAGGAATGTATATTTGAAATTTTATTCATTTTGAGAAGAATTTGAAATGCCAAAAGAGTAGGTAATTAAGTATTATTTTGATTTGATTCTGTGCTTGCCGTAGTAAAGAAACTGATAGAGGATAATGATAATTGACGAACTTCATCAAAATCACTAATAAATTCAAAATTGTTGGAATTTTTTTTAGCACTTTTTGGTAAAAATACATCTTGAAGAAAATGAAATGCAGTATTTAGCATATATGTAAGAATATTTTTTTTTTTTCTCATACTCTTTTTTTACAACATGAAAAAGCCAATTTGCTAATGCTATGAGCATTTTATTATAATCTCCATGATGCAGTAACACCTAAATACCTATGCTTAGTTCTACTAGACCAAAGATTTGTAATTAAAGATACTGATGTAGCAGTTTTACTTAAAAGGTTATTCAGATTTTATAATTATAATTATAACATTTAGATATCATTGTTTTAACTTTTTGCTCTCTAAGCATAATAAATAAAGGGTCAAAATTAGAAAATTTTCCTTATATACCAGATTCATAATAATGGAAATAAGTTAATTAATAATTAGCATTTATTTAAGTATAGATTCTTCTCATTATTTTTTTGAATATGCTTAGGATGAGAACAATATGATTTAACAAAATCTGTAATTTTTGTGTTTCATAACTAAAAAAATTGTTATTTAATAAAGATACATATATTTTTAAACAAATATCTAAAACATACTTTTTTTAATTTTTGAAAGTATTTTTACTTTTATCATTTTCATTAATAATATGATAAAATTTCCTGTTGAAAATCTAGCATTTCTATATGTTTGCCTATATTGACTTCTATTATCATCTAAAATTTTACAAACTTGAATTTCCTCATTCTTTAAATTAAGCTTTTTTTGAAATATTATCTTGTAAATGATGATTTTTTTCTTTTATTTGCAGAGTTTACTTTTAATTCTATATTTATTTCTCTATCTTCAAAATATTTACAAATGTAATAAATAATAATG